ATATTCGAGGAAAAGAAGAAAAGATTAAAGTAACTATAAACCAGGAATTTATTGGTAACCTTATCAGTAGTCGTCACCATGGCAATTTACTCAGTCGTCATTTTAACAATTTCACATTACCGTACACTTTGTACGTAATATTGTTTTCGATATAAACAAAAATGCCAATATATAGAACGTACAAGCTGTCCCGTGGATGGAAAGTTTGCTGCTATGTGAGTTCACTTCGCTAATTGCTTTACATGGACATTACTTCGAAGTATATTACAGGAGATGCTAGAAAAAAACTGTATCTCGCCAAAACTTCCTGTATATAATCGTAAAACACCTGCCCGGCTCTCCACCAGTGTAACGAAAAGAATATTTTATAGAGAAACAGGATCATTCGGCGTCCGTTCGTACAATAACCACACGCACCTGATAGATTCAGTTGTACTTTTCACTCACTGTCAGAGTCGCCCCATGACATCTGCACGCCGACGGAGCATCACTCTCGAACTCAAGCGAGAGAGTATGCTTCATTTGTAACCAATAATGATGTACAAAGTTGCACATACGACGTGAATTCTATGTATCGATTTACATCTAAATGTGAACCCACCAACTTGATGATCAGAATACGTGCTTCTCTTTTACTTTGAACCAATCACGACTCGTATAAGGGACGACGTCAAAAGATCGATGTCGGATAAAAAAACTTATTTCCTTTAGTTTGGGGGGGTTGACCTCAAAAAGTTTCCATCCTACAAAAACGATTTTATTTTTTAATGAAGCCAAAAAAATCTTGGAGTATTTGTAGTTCGTTTTTTTTCTATCCAATCATGGACAGAAATAACCGAAAAGGGAAAAAAAACAGAAAAATGGTTTGGTTCGAGTGTAAATTTGTGCGTCAAATGAGGTGCATTTGGTAAAATCTTTTTACACCCACCCGACAACCAACTACTATGCAATACTACTGTCCGATTATCAATTTGTATTTAATGGTGAATGTAGTCTGACGCCATGACCAATATTTATCAATTAAGTTTCAGTGGGGGGTAGGGGGGTTGGAAAAAACCTAAATGAATTAAGTTTGTTATCAGACATCGA